TAAGCTAAAGTTAGAATTTTGCTCAAAACACTGCAGGGCCTGAGCGTCACAGAGCCACTATCATAGCTGCAGACTCTTGAGGCTGGACATTGAGACTATATGGATACCTGACCCGAGCCTGGTGGGACTCATCGGTACCGAACAGGTTGGGCTGAGTTCGGACGAAAATGTTGCAATGAGATTCATGTTCTGTCTCATTAGCTGGGCTAGCTGCTCGATTTAATATACTGCAAGTGCCCGTAATCTGGAAAAACATCGGGCTTCGGTTGGGTTCCGACACTTAAAGCAGAATGCCTGTTGGGTTTGGCTGCGGTGAGTTTTCTCTCTGGATGGTTTAGATGGAAAACTGTGGACTGAGCTACACTCTATTTGAGACTAGATATTTTTGATGAACCTCAGATATCGTATATGTTTATTCTATTCACCATACAGACTTCAAGATGCTGCATATGTGGGCATTTATGCATGAAAGAGAGAGTACGAGAGGAGAAGGGTGGGAGGTGGGTATGTGTTCAGTCAGTTGGGTGTCAGGTAAAATTTCTGTTTCCCCAGTGTGGCAGAGAGAGGAGACGCAGAGAGAGAGAGAAAAAAAGGAAAAGAGCACCCTTTCTGTCATACACAGCACATCCATGCAATCTTGTGGGAGGAAATGAGGGGCTGGAGCCTGTTGGGTGGGATTACCAATGACTGAAGCTTGAAGAGCCCCTCGAACTCTCCCCCTTCCTTCCCCTCTCTCTCAGCCACTCAGTCTTTCTGCAATAACTCCCTTCCATTCTGCCTCTCTCTATCTCTCTCCCTCTCTGTCTATACAACTCTATTTCTTTACTTAATAGCAGTGACTTATGTTTCTTAGTGGGAAAGGCGCTGTGTATAGATAGAGCCGAGTTAATCAATGAAATGCACTGCTGCACTGCAGGAGCATGAGCTGGAGCCTACACACACACACACACACACACACACTCTCTGCATATTCCTGTTATGAGGTCTTTATGAGCCATTTCAGCAATGCCTTTTGAGGTTAAATGTTGAAGTCCTAAAGCAGCAGTGTAAACAAGATGCGAGTTGTTGTAATACCCCAGTTTGCAACAAGAAAACTCTCATCATAGCATGTGACAAAAAATAATTTCCCTCAAGTCATGTCTGTTCTTTACTCAGCAGAATCTAGTTCATTAAAAGGTCAGAACCATCAAAACATCCCAGAAAAAAACATAAAATGGTTTTATGGCAGTGAGCCTGTGGGTGCATGATAACCTCTGAACCCAATGTTTTCCCTCAGAGGGATTTTTAGGTCAAGATCTATTTTAGATCTTTATTCAGGAATATAAAGATGGACAGTGAGTCTCTCTATGTCCTCCCATTATACAAAATTAACCCAAAGTAGCCCCGATACGAGTTGTGTCATCTTACATCATAACATCGTTTGAAGTCAGAGTCTGCACAGTAGTGATTGTGTTGTGGAGCTGTGGTACTGAGGTCCTGCTGATATATACACTTGACTAATCAAACCAAAAAATCGGGCTTTTTAGTTTGGTCCTTGTCCCATCTGTTAACATGGAGGAGGTTTATGATCTAAACTGCAGCCAGCCACCGGGGGGCGATCCGGACTCTTTGGCTCCACAGGATTATGTTCTACACTGCACTAACCTGCATGAAAGGTGCAACACAGTTACATTTGATTGATTGATTGATGGTGAAAGCCCATGTTGAAAAGTGTCCATACTGCTAAGCATGCTGGGACATCATGGTGTGTTTCCACAACAGTCAATGCAATCTCACTTTTTTTATCTTCACTGGGAGACACCCTGCAATCTATCCGGTTTATCAACAAATCCAAATTAAACAAATCTCACCACAGCTTGCGCCTGTCCTCCAGCGTTCCGTTCATTAATTAGACGTCTAAAAATACCAAACCCCTCCAAGACTTAATTAACCCATCGACTCCATTTGGAAGCTGCTGCAAAGCCTGTCTTTGCAGGGGAGATGAATGACTGTTATCAGGATGTGTGTTTGAGTGTGTTTGCATCATATGGGATAAGAATCAGTGGATCCTTGTCCGTGTCTGTGCATGTTCTGGATAGAGGACGACACAATGAGCTTGTCTATGATTAATTTATATGTAAATGTCTTTTTCTGCAAGAGTGTGTGTTCAAGTATGATTTTTGCTGCACAAGGGTTTTTGTGCCACATACGTATCGGCCAACACCTCAGCTTTTCTCTGAGCTCTGCTCCTGAGCTTTAAAGACTGAGAGGACACATCATAATCCCCCATCAGTCATGCCCCACCTCCATCCTAACTACAGATCATACATGAAACATGAGAGTCAGAGGCTGCTTCAATCTCTGCGATCTACTACCCGAGTCGTTCTGATTAGACGTGACACTTTTTAGCATGGTAATTGTGGGTGGGCGTGTGCTAATGCCAGAGGTCAGTAGAATTAGTGTCACCTGGAAATGAATAAATACAATTAACAGATGGTTTTAGAGCTGTAAATGAATGAACGACTCATCAGTGTCACAAGTTGGACTAATTTGTTGTTTCATACATTTCCTATTTGAAAAGATCAGCAGCTTTTCTTTGCCTTCACACCAGCGATAGCCAGCGGCTGGAGGCATGATGTTTTCAAGTTGTCCATCCGTCCCAGGCCTGTGAACATGATATTTCAAGAACACCTTAAGATAATACCTTAAATTCGGTGCAAACCTTTACTTGGACTGATTAGAATTTGGTGGTAAAAGGTATAGATCACTGCAACCTCACAAAACACGTTTTTGTTCATCTCAGGAACACCTTGAGGGAATACCTTCAAATTTGCTAAAAATGTTCACTTTGGCTCAGAGAGGGAGTGGTTGGAAAATAGAAGGGCAACGTCATAGTGACCTCATCCAGCACAAAAATTTACTTGGACTCAAGAATGACCTGATTAGGATTTGGAGATCAAAAGTCAATGTCACTGTGACCTCACAAAACCCCTTTTGCCTTGTAAATGTGTTATCTTTACGTCATGACAAGATCCTTTCAACCTTGGCACAAATGTTCACTTAGACCATCAGATGAACAGATTCAATTTCACTTCAAACAGTCAAAGGTTATGGTGACCTCAAATGAATCTGGAAATACATTTATGTAGACTGAAACCGCACTGGTTGGAGGAGGCCTACAACTAAGATGTGGTAATTCTAGTTTACCTTTTGAATAACAATCACGGTTCAATTGGAATTTTCCCATGAGCTGACATTTGTCTCAGAGAGTAATTAGAGTCATGTGTTTGACACATTAGGATGCCACCTATCTCCTCCTGACATTTGCCACTGCCAGTCAACTGACTCCAGTTCATTGTGAGTAATGACTGACTCATTCACTGGTACAAGAATGTGTCGAAAGAAAAACACGGAATCTGTTTTATCCATCTAATCACACAGTTATGCTGGGTTTTAATAATTAATGGTTATTGTGGGGAGCGGGGGTTTACAACTTGTCTTGACGGCATGAATGGCTTTAAAGTCAACGAAATATGGACCCGAGTCAGATTTAACTTAATGAAATCCAGGGCTGGGTGGACTGGCACCGTGCCGAGGCCGGTCCCGCTGCCAGAATGTTAAAGTGACGGATGGCTACAGCATTGGAGAAACCTTCAACTTCCACATAGAGTTTAATGATTACTGACAATGTCATATTTTGTGAGTGCAGCCCATTGACCATGTAAATGAGTGTCCAACTAAAGCTTCTGACCATTGCACACAGTCAACAGAGTTCAACAAGGTAAATCTGGACAGGAGGAAACAGAGAAGGAGACATATTCTGTAGAGGATCCTTGCTTGTGTGTATTTAAGTGTGTGTGTGTGTGTGTGTGTGTGTGTGTGAGTGTTTGTAAGTACTTGTATCTTTGTGAGAACCATTTTTAGCATAGACCTTACAGAGTGAAGACATTTTGGTCGGTCAGAACTCTTTCCAAAGGATCATTAAGGGTAAAAACATGCTTTTAGGCTTAGGCAAAATCAAGTCCCTTTTCATTTTAGTTTCATTCTTAATTTAAAGATATATTTTAAGGTTAGGTTTAGGTTCAGCTTAAGGTGTAATGTAATGTAATGTTGTGTGTATGTGTGTGTCTGTGTGTGTCTGTGTGTGTCTGTGTGTGTCTGTGTGTGTATTGTGTTTACCGCGCATGAGCAATCATCATCAGTTCATTATGTGAATCTACATGATGTGAATCGAATCTAATACAAAAAAGTTTGACCAAAGCATGAAAGACTAACATGGACATGAACCTACATTTAATACTGTGCTGCCAGATTGCCTGTACATATGCTCTGTTTTTTTTAACAGCAACCTTGTTGCTGCTTGTTCAGTGTGTAATATTCACTCCATATGCAGAGGAGATAGACAGGCAGCGAGTGCAAGTTCTCACTCTGAATGGGAAAATGGTGAAGATAACGTCTGTGTTCTCAATTACCTGCTTTAACGAATGGAAGAAAATTGCAGCATGTGAGCAGCCTGGCTGGTTTTAACGGAAGGTTTCCTCACAGGATAGAAACCACATGCTGAGCAACGTCAGCTCCTGTTTCCTGAGATTTCTTTTGAACAGCGTATCAGTTGAGGTTTTGTGGAAGTTGAGGTTTTGTGGAAGCTGTGTGTGTTTGATGTGTGATGACTCACACCTGTGTCGCTCAGTGGATGGGAAGTGATTTTCCCGCAGTTTTATTTGGGTGAAACTAATACACTTAAAATGAAAAACTAATATACATGTTCAGCAGTATCAGAGGCATTTCCAATACTGGTATTGATATTGAAATATAATAAGAGCATGTTGTACCCAAGGAAACAGACACGACTTAGATTAAATAACTTTCCGTGAAGTAATTATATATCATATAAAATAGCTTCCCCTATGCCATCAAAAGTATATACATCAATTCTACTCAGATAGCATCATCATCAAAGTATCACATATACCTGTAGAAACCAGTATTTGTGTGTTCTTATCCCTCGCTGTTCCACACAGGTGCCCCAGGATGAGTGGGCGGGTTACCCTGGCGGCGGGAAGGATGACGAGATCCCCTGTCGTCGAATGCGGAGCAGCAGCTACGTTAAAGCCATGGGGGATGAGGAGAGTGGCGAGTCGGATTCCAGCCCCAAGACTTCGCCTCAGAAGTTGGTGCGGCCAGACGCCCTGGTCAAGGCCATTATCAGACCCAGGGAACTGCTGGATTCTCAGAGGTACGACACACTCAACTTCAATAGTTCAAAGTGTTTTACTCTTCATTAAGTTTTTTTTTTTTTGGCGTGTTCTTGTTTGTGTATTTGCACAGCTTCTGGTAAAGATAGAACAAAGCAAACTGTCATGTGTAGGATAGGTAGGTGATTACATCAGTTGTCAGTTTTCTTTGTTTATGTTATATAAAAACATATTGCAGCTTATTTATTTTCTTCTTATTTATTTATTTTCAACCACAGACGATATATAAAGCCTGTATGCAGGATAATTTTGCTTAATTGTTGAACTATGAGAGGAAGTGAAGACGCTTCGTCCATCTTTATGATGTTCCAGCTCATACATTTTTGATACAACCACTATGCAAATACGAAACTTTTCAAATTCTACGTTTAAGAAAGTTTAAGTAAATGATTCCTCCTTTGGCATGAGATAGTCTGCCTTTCATGCTTTCTTACTTTTTTTTTAAATATCCACAAATTATATAACGTATAAACGATTTGATTTGGTGAAATTAAATTGAAAGTACATTGGGATGCCCTGTGTGACTAAGATATACTTATTTCTGTATTGTAGTTGTTAAGTGTGCACCTTCCTATAGTTCTAATCTGTTGATGTTCTGATCGAGACCACACTTGTTATTTATTTGCTCATTTACATTCCCTCCAGCAGTGCTGCCAGTTCTCTTGTTGTCTGGGCCCACCGCTGCAGCAGTGTCAAACACTTGATAGCTGAACTCTGTTCTCATTAAAATCCCTTTATGGATATTCATATCAATGTCTACGACTGTAAGAAAGTGTTGTAGCACGTTCTTCTGGGATGTGTCCTATTAAACGCAGAGGAAATAGAGGGCTTTTGTTTTTGGTGGCTCGGCGGTGGAGGAAAATGCTCATAAGAGGATTACATGATGAGACAAGCTGGAGACAATGTCACAGGAAAATAAACACGAGGAACTATGTTATGGAGAGATGGAAGAAAAGTTGCTTTGATTAGAGCATTAACAAATCCATTAGATTAAAATGAAAATGGATAACAGAGGAGTCAGATCAATGAGGAAGAGTGATGAAGCCTCACCTGCAGTAATGTTGTAGCTGAGAGAGAATTAAGTAACCGCTTTTCTCCCACAGGGATTTTCGTGTTGTGTTATCATCAACATAAATATGAAAATGATCTCCCTCTCTTAATATTCATATGCGAACGTAATTATAGCTGAACAAGATACAGTGATGATACACTGCAGGTTACTGTAAAGCTGTGTTCGGTCAGAGGAGGATTCCCTTGTCTATTCTGTTCCTTTCCCAGTGTGTTGCATGTTCTAATAATCACCTACCTTTTGTGCTTTCTCCATCTGTACTTCATTCATTTCTTGCCCAGCTCACTTCTACACAAAAACACAGTTGTGGGAATACATTTAAAAATGTTTCCTCCACCTATCAAACTCAGAGTTTGTTCAGCGGTTCATTTTTCAATTATGAATCCATAAGTGAAACTATTTCGATGTTGCTTATCGTCTTATTTAACTACCTTTTGTGGTTTTTAAACTGTATTGTTACAGTATTTTAAATGGTTGCATTGTGCATGGACAGATTCATCTTTTCCAGAGTCATATTTTTCAAGGTGGCAACAGAAGAAAGCGAATTCACTTCCTCTCCCTATTCAAAGGGTTCTTTTCCTCTTTGTTAGCAGCAGAATGTAAAAGCAGTAATTACAGCTGAGATAGGGATTTTAATAATGTGATGATTTTAAAAAAAGTATTCGAGACCTGCTCTTTTAAAATACAACCTTTTTTATGCTCTGATTTGAAGCTGTGTATGTTGAGTGAATTTATCAGCTAAGGTTTGATTTCCCCGACATTTTTTAAACTAAATAATTTACAAAGCATGAACATCCCAGAGCTTGTATTTGTGTTTATCAGAGCAGTAAGACAAAAATCATAGGCAGAATTACAGACAACTGATACCAACTAGTTAGTAGTTTGAACTAAAGTTTTGAAAGGTATTGAATATAAGTTAAAGCGATGATGATTCACCAAAAAATGAAAATTCACTCATCTACTCACCACTATGCAGATGGATGGGTTTAAGTGTTTAAGTGCACAAAACACTTTTGGAGTTTCAGGGGTAAAGTCAGGGTTGCAGCCAAATCCAATACAATGGAAATAACTGTGTAAACACTTCTTCAAAAGGAAAAACACAACAGGAAAAATATAAAATGCCTCCATCCTGCTCCTGTGGTGTCATCCAAGTGTCCTTAAGCCCAGACATTCAAATTCGAAACAGTGTCATTTACACCAGAAGTAGCGATGCTACAGCGCACCCGTGCAGTGCAGTGTGGGCAGTGTGCGCAGCTCCAGAGGATATCAGAGGACAAGAAATAAAAATAAACAGAAAATAAACAATAGAAGACAAAAATTGAAATCAGAGGACTCGTGTCAGAGGTGTTTTGCGGTGACCTCAGTTATTTTGATAATATCAATAATATCAACGTTATCCAGGTATTCATGCAAATATTGAGGGACTTGGGAGTTGCAGAAATAATTAAATGACTGCAGTACTATTAATATAAAAATGCTGCCTTATTTGTGCTTTTTTAATTAGAATATTGGTGCAAACAGCGAAAATGTGTTTCCGTCCTTGAATCTCTGCTGCCAGTGTCATGATAGAGCGGCTTATACAACACAGCTTACACAGCTCAGTGCACACCGACACTATAATCTAACACTTTCTTCTATTGTTAATTGGTTAAGCTGGTATTAACATTTTTCTATAAATATCAGACATAATATCAGGATTGTCTTTTAATTAAATATGATGAAATGTTTGGATTGAAAGAGATGGAGAAAGGAATATAGGAATAGTGGTACTGTTTGCTGTTGTTATACAATCACAAATGGCTGAAACAATGTGTTATTGTGAAAATGGACGATGTAACAACAAAGTAACACAATGTGAGAGCAGCCTGTTTGATGTCTCTTCCATGCAGAGCAGTTTATGCAGACAGGATTGTTCAACTGTGAAGACAGACTCTAATAAACCACTCCACTCTGTCTGTCTGTCTGCTCTGTTTCCGGTCTCCACAAACCCAGAGGAGAATAATGGGACATAAATTATAGATATTATGCAAATCCCACCTTGTTTCTGAACTCTGTGTCGCGTCTGACCTGTGACTGACACACAGCTTTAGTATGTCACAGACAGACATAGAAGAAACCTGTGATACACATACTGAGTAGCGCTTGTGATTCCCTCACTCGTATTGTCACATCCTCGTCTTTCACATAGCTGACCTCATGCTCAGTGCCATTCAGCAGAGATTTTTAAATTGCCCCTTTCATGTGTAAAATACTTTTTACTTGGAAGCCCCTAAACCACAGCGAGCAACAACCATTCAATTCGCTTTGAGATTTGAGCAAGTAAACATACAGGCAGAATTAATAAAGAGCATTGTGACATGCAGAGGTGGCAAAGTACACACATCGTTTACTCAAGTAGAAGCACAGATACTTGTGTTAAAAGTGACTCCAGTAAAAGTATAATTACATTGATACAACTTCTTTACTGAAGTGAAAGTATAAAAATATGGGATCGTAATGTAGTCACAATATAAAAGTAAAAAGTTCCCTATCTGAAGGTCAAAGAAAATTTCACTTTCAAATAAAATAAAACACAATATACTACAAACTGCAACATAAGATCTTTGAACATTATTGAAAATTATTCAGGAGAAAATGTGTACAATGTACTGAATGGAATATTCTTAATTTAAATTAGACCAGGAATGAGGAATGTTTTGATGCTCTGCTTGTTGTTGATGTTGTCGACATTATCAGCATGTTGTTGGTCCTTGTCACAGACATGTCCCGCCTCTCCCTTTCTTGTCCTTTATGCTGTCTTACATTTGTTGTGTGTGATGTGCACCGATAAACCAAGAATTGTCTTTTCGATGTTTCTCTGTCTCGATGTTGGGAAGCTGCACTCGATGATATAAAAACAAATAATTCTCCTGAAATACACAAAAGTAATGCTCCTGTTTTGAAAAGAGTAGACAGTACAGATATTTTGTTAAAATGTGGGGAGTAAAAGTAAAAAGGAAAGCAAAATAAAGTAAACTAACAAAAGAATCGACTGAAGTACTGTAAGTATTTCTACTTTGTTAAAGTATTTCTACTTTGTTACTTTCAACCTCTAGTGACATATGTCTGCAGGATGGCAGAGCAGAGATCCACATCCAGCTTCTACTACTGCCTCTGTATAGTAGAAGAACAGTGTAATCTCAGTGGATATACAGTATAATGATAAATCGAACGTTATGGATTGAGATCAGGCAGCGTGATAATGACATTCAGTCACAGAAGATGCAGTCGTTTGGCCATTGTAGCTGCTCTTTCACATTATTTATTTAGGGAAGTATGCTCCCTTTTTTTTGACGTCTTCCAAAGACTCCCAGTGACAATTCATTTTGAATTGCTGCAAACAGTGAATGATTTATGAGGATGCAGCAGCAAGAAGGGCTATCAGTTGCAGTTATTGTACTCCAAGGCCCGTCTGAATAATGGCTCTCTCAGTGGTTCTGCTGAAAGGACCAGCATGGATCAGGCTATGTGGCCTGCATCGGAATCCATTGACTGCAGTGGCATTATCACTGAGTCAGGGGGAGAAGGCTTGTTGTGTGTCCCCGAGGGTGACATTACTGAAGAGTCTCGATACTCCTCTGAACCCACTCTAAGAACGCAATAATATGGTGTCTTTCCTCTTGGATTAAGATAGAGACATATTTGGTCTCTTCCTCTGCTTTTGTTGCGTCTCAGATACCCAGTGGGTGTTTTTCTTCTGATTGGGACAACTTGAGATTGATTTGCTGCCGCTCCAGACCAATAAATCAGCCACGTCGATATTAGACAGTTTATTAGCTAATGGAGTAAAACAGTATCTGTTAGTTCATCTTCCTCCGACTATCCAGAATGGAAGTAAAAATATAAAAATGTGAAGCCAAAATAGAAATAATC